TGGCCGTTGCAAAGTAGTTTTGACAAAACTTGCAAATGAAAGCTTCGTACCTTTCGTTCCCTGCTCTGTTCTGAAGGATATACATGCGATTTCATGGACGTTCCCTTTCCAAATACCTAACGCTCTTAAAACGGATGTTGAGTCACTGGCTGTAGTCCGATGTAAATAACTTTTGAGTTATATTTTAGCTCAGAAATCCGATGTTGACAACGGCAAAGTTGGATGTTGAGTCAAAAGTTTGATTTTTGGTGGAGATGAAACACCATAAGCAAATTGTCTTTCAGAGGTCTCACCAAGCTTTCATCGCTACCCTTTTTTTTAAAGTTAAGTTACAAACATGGCAAATATTGCGCCAATTTATCCCCCCTCCCCCTCCCCCTTGGGTTTCCTTCCTCAACACCCACAGTTATATACAAAATGTTATCTAGGTCGTGTTAGGAAAATTAACTTTATTCTGACTTAATCAGATGTCAATAATTAAATCTGAATTTCCTTCAGAATCATCTCTTAAAGGTTACTACTATTTTTAAAGTTAACAGATCCAAACTAGATTCGTAGGAAATCCATTGACATCAAAATTTTGGCTTTACTGCATCGTTAACGATCACAGCCGATTACATAAAATTTTTACAATTACAATAATTGAGCCTCATTCCATTATCGGTTGAGCCGAGACAGCAATGCTTTCAATCGAACATTCATCGGTCCCTCGTCGGATACGGAAGTAACCACTTTCGCCCCATGCCTTTCCCCAACTGTTTTTCACAATCCAGAACTTCTCACCAGTCTTTTTATCAGCTCCATATCCCACGGCCAATACAGCATGATTGGTTATCTCAAAGGGATTAAATTTGTCTGTAAGACCTGTGAGATGTAGGGAATAATTATATTTAGTACATACCCCACAAGTAAATGGTGCTTTTCATTCACACTGATTAGCTAGTTCGGAAGTGATTAGCAAGTACCATTTATTTTGGTTTCTGTTAGGTACTAAAACATTCACCTCAGCATAAGTGAATAGTGGTGGATATTTACCCATACTTTGGTGAATAATGGTTTTATATCGCTATCCAATTCCTTATGTAGTGCTCAACACAAAACCAAAACAAGTTATTTGACCACCTTCAGAGAGAGCTCAGAGAAGGATATGTTTTGAAAGCAACATTTTAGAGCAAAAAAACTGAAGGTCATTATGGAATTTAATTTTTTAAAAGGTTGTTGTCATTATTGCTCAGTTGCTTTGTTCACTTCATTCTTATTGTTCTTAGCTGAAGTTGTTTCAACCTACAACTGCCAGAAGAAATTGCTGATCAAATTTAACTTTATCTTGCATTATGAATGTGGAAACTGCACAGCAAACAAACTTATCAACTAGTAAATGGATACCTGGCCAAAATTGCATTCAAATTGAATCACTCTTTGCATGATCAACAAATGTTGCAGAATTTAGCAAAGTCATGTATTAGTTTTAGGTGTCACTGTTGGTTTTCTTTTTTTCACTTGTAAGTATCATTCTATGATGTGAAAATTGTCTTTCCATGCCACTGAATCACAAAAGCAGACTCTTTACCTTTGAACTCCTTCACTAAAACATGTGCATTACCCTGGAAAGACTTGACACTTACAGGTCAAATACCCCATCCCACCCAGGCAAAGTTCAAATTCCATACCACCTGGGCAGAGAAACAACTCAAACACTGGTGGGTTGCCCATGTATGAGGGATGTTGAAACTTCAATTGATCAGCACATAAACAAGTTATAGTTTATGAGAGACAATGTTGTTCTAAAATCTCACCTGTATGATGGTATATTCCCCCTTTATAATTAAAAAAGTCATTGTAAACCTCAAAGGCCACACTTATGGGGCCATTCTTCACCAATTCAATCCTCATAAGCTCCTCATTACATCCTCCATAAAACCCTCCAATATAGTGGTAACCAGTCCCAAACTGCCTTGAGCACTTCTTCTCATTACAGGGTAAGTCTTTGCCTTCATATGGGTAGCATTCTTCATCCACCAAACCAAAGTCTTGGGCATACTTGCTAACAAGATAAGGGAAACCTAGAAAGAAAAAGTCATCCCCTTCATGTCAACTGAAACCAAGGCAGCAACATCATCAGTGCATGAGAACAGGTTACCAAGGGGGCATCCCAAGCTAAGTCAAAATGTTTTGGAGAATTTTCCAGGGTTGCAAACCTCTCAAACTGAGGTGAGTAGCCATGGTAAATTTTTTCTAAATACTATTAACACTTTCATCCCTAAGAGTTACTAGCATTCACTTTCTCCCTACAATATCACTCCTGAATCACACATTAAGGTTACGAGAATTAAGGAAATAATCACCAACTAAAGAAGCTCTTGATTGTTACACAAATTCTCCTTGCCATCACCTAAGGAAATTTATAGAGAACATTATGAAGAATAGGCATACTAGGGTTTGGGTGTAAAGGATTGAAGATAAAGCTTACATGGTGTCTGGAGCAATTAATTCCCCATGCCTCTCTTTTTAAATTTCTCACACATTTTCTTCTGTGCATCGCTGCACTCCAATAATTTTTATTTATAAGCTGCACAAAGCATTGTAAACATACCTCCTTCACAACCTTGTGCATATTCACAACAGCTGACAATATCTTGAGGCGAGAACACTGGTGTTTTAGTTGCATTTGACAAGACTCGAACACGAGCCTCAAACATGGCCATAGTCGCAAAGGCATAGCAGCTGCCACAACTACCTTGATTTCTGATTGGACTGACATAGTTTTTCCCATCAACATTTCTCCAGTCAAACTCTTCTGGGAGCACTTTAGCTTTTAACAGATCTGCCTCTGTTGGTTGGCTGAAAGACACAGTAAATCAAGTGTAGTGTATTCATTTAATTTATTGAAAAAAGGCCACTCAGAATACAGGAAAGCTGTTGTTTATTTCACAGTGCTATACCTGACAATTCCATCATACAATGTGACTTTGTTGTCCTTAAAAAAAAGAAACCATGCACCTTCATATCCCATTCCTTGGGGTTAAGGAGGAATAACACAATAATAATAATAATATTATTTGGCAAGTTTTATTTTGCAGTCCATGTCATGGATTTTAATGTTGTCAAGGCTACATTGTTGTCAATGTTACACTGTGGAGAACTGAAGGCCAATTCAAAGCAAGCAATTTTTGAGTGAAGTCTGCATGCCTGTTAAATTGTCTCTGTAATTACAATGGTAGATGTATGTTTAAAATTGCTAAGCTACATGTACACTTTCTATAGTTAAACACGGAAATTTCAGTTTGACTTCCATGAAAAACAAAGAACAATTTTTTACCCTTACTGCTATGAGGTGTTCATATAAGCAAATTTCTGATACAATTGGGAGATTTTCAGGTTTGAAAAGTTAACCAAGATCCCAGCACACTGCAGGATTAACCTGCATTCTCATTTAATTTGGACATCAAATTTTTGAGGAAAGGGGAATGTCATGACAATGTCCTAAAAACAGAGCCTGTACAGTCAAAAGTGATTATTTGAAGAGGCCATATTCACAGAAAATAATGAATGAAAACAAAATCGGAAGAAGTTGCATACCTTGGTTTCGGAAAATTAAGTCTATTTGGTCCACCTGCACGAGCAATTAACTGTGCCACAGTCATCCCACTATAATCCTCATACACCACAGCTTTCCAAGAGCTCTGAACATTGTTTATTTGGTCAACAAATTCCTGATTAGGGATGAACTTTTTATTATCACTTGAAAGCTGTGTTGAGTCATGTATTTTAGGTGGGACCTTCCCCAAAACTTTTCTCCCTATGATAGAAACAAAAAAACAATAATAACATTCATCATCTGACCCTCAATCACATAGAAAATCAAGTAATAAACTTACTTTTTTCATCATTCCCTGTGAGCCAGTAAAGAGTTACACCTAACACCTTCTTTGGCAGTAAAACAAGAAAATCAGGATTGCAAAAGATGTAACTTGTCCTCAACCCCTTCCATATCTTTTAACTCCAAGGAGCAATCAGCACATAATTCTCCCTATAAATTTCTGCAAGCATCAATTTTAAGAGCCAACATCCCCACCCCTATTGCCCTAGGTGATGTGCCCTTGGGATAGGGAATGGAACCTTCTCTACCTTGGGGGGGGGGGGAATTCAAACCAACAGAATACACTTGCTTTAATCTAAAATATTCAGGAGTTTAAGGGTGAAGAGTCATGAGCAAATGGCTCAGGAGAAAATTTTCACATTATAGAGTGATGCTTTTAAGCAAAGAACTAAATAACAGTGCCAAAAACTAATACCA